GTATGTGTGACGTGTAGTAGGTCTGAGATGCCGTGACGTCATGCTTTGGTTGAAAGGTTGAGTTGGGGAGGCTAGTGACGCCCTACGTACGCCCTCAGCAACGCGTGACGTCATTAAGCTTCATGGATATTGGTTAGGCACCCACGGACGGTACCCGTACCGGTACTTACGTACCGATCCGGTCAAGGAGACAGAGAGAAAGTTGCAACCCAAAGACTACACATTTTAGTTTTGGCGTGAACACACTAAAACAGAATGACAATTATTGTTGGAATCAAACACATCAGCAGCTTACATTTAACTGCTCGCATAGTCTGCCGATTTTTCTTCTGTTTTATTTTGCTTCGAAGTTCCAAATCCGTTGCAAAAAGCAAAAGGTTATTCATATTTTAAATTGTGCTGTAGGGTAGCCTAACTATTTCGATTGAATTTGACAATAAATGTGACGATTAATTATCAGTAACATACAGGAACACCAAATTTACAGAGTTTGAATTCCACCTCCACAAGGGCGGATCCAGAAAACAGTTTTGGGGGGACAAAAACATTTTTGGTCCCCCAAAAAATGGGTCAAAAAATTACGGCGAGTTTTTTTTTCGGGGCCCGCTTAAGGACCCCGAAAAATTGTTGGATTCTAGATGCTCTGTGGTGTGATCTGAGGCAATTTGTGACCAGTTTAACTAAATTATTTTTGAGGAAAAGATGGTGGTGTACGCAGTGCCTTTATTGCGACGTCACTTCAAAAAAATTATTTTTAAATGGGTTCGCTTTTTGGGGGGGCGTGGCCCCCGTTGCCCCCCCCCCCCCCTGGATCCGCCCTTGCACCTCTTTTATAACCAAACTAACAAACTCGAAAATTCGACACTTTACTTCTTTGAGGTTCAACTGGAATGGATTTTTGTTAACCCGATCATCGGAGCCCAACTTTTTGGGGGGCTCCCATTGAACGAACTGTGGTCGCCCGTAACTGACCCGGGTCAACACCTCTGTGCGCTCAAGACCAGTGTTAAAGACACATTAATGATCATTTGCATTTATCCCAAAAGTACGTTACATCGAATTATTGTCAAAAAAGCTTAGTAGTGGTTCTAAACACCCCAGCAAATTATTCCGTTTGGTATTCTGTCATTAAGAAGAAATCAAGAAAGTTTAGACGAATTCCAACGACCAGTCAATTGACTGAGTTTGAGAAATAAAGAGTTAATAGCCGAAACCATGTTTCGTGATCAAAATGTTGTGCATGGTTTTCCACAGTTTTCTTGAAAAAGTGTAACATCCACTGAGCTGAAAGTTCCTAAGGTTTTATTCTGAGCATTCTACTTGGGTATTTTTGAGTGGTTATTGGAAGCGAACAAAATGCATGGTCAGCAAGTGATCGTATATGCATATAATGCATCATTGAACAGTACTTGACCTGCCGAGTGCCTGGTGCATCTGCATTGTCTTTCGCAACAATATTTTGTGAAACGGATCAGCGGTCAGCAATATAATATCCTTATGTAATTTGTTTGTGGACGAGCCCCCCCCCCCCCCCCCCCCCCTCGGTCCGCATTTTGAATCGGCAGCGGCACGGTTGAATTTTGCTCTTGTTACAGAACGGTTTGGTCCTTTGACAGCAATTGTTTTCTCTTCACCCACACACCCATCAAATTGGTCAAGCGACGTCCATTGGACAAAGGCATGGTATCCGGTCATGGTTATAATACCTTTATATAATTGATCCCATGGAATGCCCAGTGCGTATCCGCCTGTCGGTCAGATACGCCTGGGCGCTCTATTCTTGCTCAACTTGGGCCGCCGGTCAACTGGTCAGCTGCGAAGCTTGTCCAGCGTTCAAGGACTGTCTTTTGACCGAAGAGGCGCGGCAGATGCTAAACAACAAAAGCACCACGACAATATGATGACGTGCTTTGGTGTCTCTCTGCGCTCATAGAAAGTCACCCAGTGTATCCAGGCTTCGTGTCTGATGGGGTGGGGGATCATGGGCGTCGCTATACCCTTGAAATCGGGGTGAGGGGGGGGGGGTGGTTGTTGACAACAAATTTGGCGATGGACCACTCTGTGCTGGAGCTTGAAGGTAGCCAAGATTTTTTGGGGTCACTCAGCCGGCAATTTTTTTTTTTAAGTGAAGGCACGAGGGGGGGGGTGCCGGTTTGTCGGCACCATCTGACTATTGGGGCACTGTTCAAGCGAGTATTTGATTTCATAAGTAAAATTGGTTATTAACCGCCATTAATATTTGGTAAATACTGCCCTTTTCCATTTCCTTTTTAGGTGCCCTTTTTTTCAAAAACAAGTGGCCTTTTACGAGTAGTCTGAGTATCACCCGTTATCCACGGATCCAAGTCTCCTGTATAACGTATGATATGTCAAAGCATGCAGATTTATGCGATTCGCGCCTCAGCCAATCGGAGTGAACTTTACTACATCGTGGCGTCATTTCATTCCCAAATCAGGACTAAAACTCTTATTGGTCAATTCGAATGCATTATTTTGTAATACAACAACAGCCGGGCGCGTGTCGCGTAACACAATACAGAGCGCGTGAACATGCCTTTGTTGCTAATGCTATGTCTGGGGATCTATTTTTTTTTTATCCATGTCTATGACGCGACAACGAGTGAATGACCGAATAACCGATACAGAAAGCGCCCGCTGATTGGTCAAAATCTAGAGGTCAAGATGCGGTTGTCTTGCATAATTAATCAGCGAATTTGCTCAATGTAATAGACCTTGGCATACGCATGGTCTATTTACATAAACTATTTACAAGTGCCCTTTTTGGAATTTCGCGCGACCGTCGGCAATTGTGCCGCCCTGAAAAGCGCCATCTATTGTCCGACAATGCATGATCGTCCGGTTTGGACAGCGCCCCCATTGGCAGATGGTATATAAGTAAATAATCCAAAACATGACATTTTCGGGGAGTTCAGGCAGTAATACCCCTTGAAGACAACAAAAACTAAATTATTCTGGGGGTGTGACTCGAAAAAAGCAACGGGAGAGCGACATTAAGAAAGCCAAACACTAGAAAAAAATAAACTAAGATTAAGTTTGTTGACGATTGTCTGGATGGTTGGGCTCGAAAGATAGATCTGACAGTTTGGTTATAAATGTTTCAACAAGGAGCTCCATCTGGACTCCAGCATGGGTTACGAGGTGAAACGAGGCCAAAGTCTATCCAGTTATCTCTAACCTAGTGAAAGACTCAGATAATTCAACTGTCAAGAAAACTAAGAGAATCAAGAAGAAACTTATCAATGTATTTATGGATGAGGACTGAAGTCCCACTTGAACCAAGTCTAGGTTGAATGTTTGCAGGGAAGTCTACACGAGATGTAATTAGGGATCAAAGACATTAACCCTGATGTAGTGTTTGCTCAAGTCGCGTTAAGTATTGAACCTGATTCCAAAGTGCATCAGGTGTAATTGTGAGGCCATCTGCACGATTTATTTTATCATGAATGTCTATTGTTGATAATGTTTTTATAGTGAATACTTACTCGGTCAAAAGTTACCTTTGAGTTACCTTTGTGCAGAATTTGGGCGTGTTACCCCCTTCAGAGGGTCAGCCTATAGTCCTTTTACCTCACCGACTGACTGACTGACTGTCACATCTGAGGTGGACAGGTTACCTCCTCGTAACCGACTCTCACTTATGACTTCATTACACTGGTCAAGGAGCAGCTTACGATTCCCAGGACATACCGTTATTTCGTTTCACCGTTTTGCATTTCCTCAAAAACAAAAACAGTAAACGAACCATGACCGTTATGTCGTTTTACAGTTTTGTAAAACGGCCAAACGGTTTTAAGATAAATACGGTTATTTCGTTTTATCAGTTTAGTAAAATTCACTACAGCATAACGATCAATGATTTTTGTTTTTTCAGTTTTACACAAATAACTTTGAAAAACAGCAAAATGGTAAGTATTGAATACAGACTGTTTTTATTTTTTATTTCAGTGTCATAGTTTACAGTCCGTGGTGCATTTTGTGGCGGTGAGCAAGGGGGGGGGGGTGGAGGGGGACCATGCCGTGCACGAAGACTGTGTTACCTCGGCATAATTAATGCGTGGTGTGATTCCTGGCGTAACCCTGACAGTGACCATCATCTAATGAGATTAATTGGTGGGGCTTAAAGAGCTGCAAGCAAAAATGGCGCTGGAAAATTTCAAGGAGGAAATTTCAGAATGGATACAGGGTGGTAAGACGTATGAAGAAGTTGCAGATATTTTGAAGGAAATTGGAGTTTGGCGCGGCTCTTCAATAGCCAATATTCGCAAATTCTGTCATGAGTACGACATAATTGTAAGAAGGGCAACTTCCCAGGCAGTGAATCGATCACGAGGTCGACACATTAACATTCCAAGGTGCATTGCTTAATTGCCAAACCTGAATCAAAAAATGGTCGACAAGACTATTGACCGTTTGTCATTGTCATGTTTTTGTAAAACAACACTCTAAAAATAAAGCAACTAACCGTTTATCGCTTTTTACAATTTAAAAAAAGGTCATTGTTTTTTGTGACTTAATACCGTTTGACCGTTTAACAAAACTGTAAAACGACAAAACAGTCAATGGTTCGTTGACTGTGTTTGTTTTTGAGAAAATCTAAAACGGTAAAACGAAATAATGGTATTGATATACGTGATGTAGCATTATAAGCAGATGCTAGCGTGTCCGGAGTTTTGATCCAGCGTACCAATCGTCCGGCCGGGCGGGGGGGGGGGGGGGATGGTTATGATATCCTAAGAATGAGTGTCCACCCGGACCATAAGCATGGTAAATCTCCAACTAAGACCCAGTCCGAAGAGGGCGTTTTGTCAGTGACTATACGGCCACAGCAACGGGCGTCACGTGATGATCGGGGTGGCCCTTGGTTGAGCGTTCAGTTAGCCCGGCTGCCGTGGCTTACCCGTCTGCCTTTGGCCCTTTACCAGAGTCGATCCGGGTAAGCTACTCCAACGCAGCCACAGATATTGACAACGTCACGTGACTACCTTTTTTTCAACATGGGACGCAGACTATTAAAAGAGCGTGTTCTATTTGCTTGACATACAGTGTTCAATAATAATTTATATAATCGCAATCCACATTGCGTCCCTTTTTGGAAACTTGGATTTTGTTTGTTAGAATCAAGATTCCTTTTCCACAATGGGCCAAACGGCAGTTGCTCACTCTCTCTTGCTGTACGTAGTCGCCCCTGCTCTCGTTTCGATTGCTATCTGCAAAAGTGGTCTGATTCCCGCGACCGCTTCTCCCGAGGATGGCAGCATCTCTTGGCCGGCTTTCTTCGCGACGTACGGCCTGCTGGCTGGCTTGGCGTACTTGACGGCAGCCGTGTTTTCGTTCATCTACAGCCCTCTGGAGTTTTACGGCGATGAAGGGAGAGATTCCTACTTGATCGGCAAGGCCCGGGCCGGGCTGTCCAAGGAAGAAGCGGTGGCAGAGATGAAACGATCGCGGAAGATCGGTGACATACCTCCCGTCTATCCCAACGGTTGGTTCATTGTCTTCAGGTCTGCGCAGGTCAAGAAGATGGAGACGAAATACGCACATGTCCTGGGTACGTAATAAAGCGTCATACCGCAAGTTTGCCCTTCTGACGGATATATCGTTTTCATGTAAATTCATACTAAAGCTTGTCAAAGAGCGCGCAAAATTATATGCGATCAATTCAATGGAAGCCTTCATGCATCTGATCATAATTGTTGTTTTTTAAGAAGGCCTTGGTTTTAGAGTTTTCGCATAATTTTGAAACTTATCTACTGGTTTTCTTTGGGGAAATGGATTTGTACATTTGTTACACAGTTTTTATATTCTAAAATGATTAGTGTTTTGATGTTGTGATTGTGCAATTTTTGTGTGTATTAATAATAACTATATTTTTAATGAGAGACGACAACATGTATTTTCCAGTTTTGGATTTAAAAAAGTTTTATCTATCTGTCGGATTTAACCAATTCATTGGCATTATGTGAGTAATCCCTTTAAAGAACGGTGATTTTTTTCTTGTTATTGTATACATATCGGTAAACAATTCTGGGGCATATTATCTCTGATATCGCTGATAGCATGCATCAAAGTGCAGACGGCACGTACACTAACAAAACCGGCCATCGTCTCGGCTTTTGATATGGCAAAAAGAAAATAACTAAATATAAAAAAATCTGGACCTATTTTTAACAGGCAGTGGCAGGTTTGACAAACAGGTCAAGGGCCAGGGCCACTTGAAGCAGGTGAATGCTAATAATAACGAAGGAGTAATAATGGTATAATATTTTGTCTCCCGAGACTGAGCTGCCAATGATGAAGATGGTGTGCCAATGATGAAGATGAAGATGATGATGGGAATGATGGGGATGATAATGATGATGATGATGAATAATTTAACACACTTTGAATTATTAGTGGCCCGACAATAATGCAGGGTAGACGAGTTCCCGCCCGCTATCAGATTTAATAATGTACAGGCCAGGAACCAGTCTACTCGCTCGGCACAATAAAATCAACCCGAAGTAAAAGCCTTTACAGGGGGTTACAGAAAATGTAACAACAATGTTTGTATGTACAATTCGGGAAGTACATCTTAACGCGTCTGTCTTTCATCAGGCTTGCACTTGGCCGTATTTCGCGGGGAGAGCGGACAGGTGTACATCGTGGATGCTTACTGCCCTCATCTTGGCGCCAATCTGGCATTTGGCGGGAAAGTCAAGGGCGAGAGCATAGAGTGCCCGTTCCATGGATGGAGGTATCAAGGGGAGGACGGCAAATGCGTTCACATCGCCTACGCAGACAAAGGTATTATGGTGTTTGACCTCAAACACCTGCGAGATTTAACGAGAATACAGCACATCCGGGAACATGTAGGCCCTGTAGGATCTACAGATGTGTAGATTTGGTTTTGCTTTTTTATGTTGCGTCCTGACTGAGACCATCAAAATCAAGGGCAATAAATCGGTGTTTCGAAATGAAAGAAAGCATTACAAATTACAACGTATCGGACACATTGCTAATTGATGAAAGTTGTTGACCTCAACTTTTGTTCAATCGATCACGCAGACGACAATTGGGTTAGGCCTAATTCAAACACGGGAGTCTGTGACTAGACTAGTCAGTGTTTGGTACCAAGACGTCCACAGGAATGAACGTGGACTGCATGGCGAGACTAACACGCTCTGTGGCGAGTTCATCATAAGTGAATTCCTGTAAACCCCCCCCCCCAAAAAAAAAAAGGAACTAGCAAACATAAACATTTAGATATAAACATTTCAGAGGGTTGAATAATACTTTTGCTAAAAAAAAATGGCCCACAGGTTGATAATGGGTACGATATTTCTTTAGTTGGGGGCGGGTTTTTTTAAAATCTGACGGAGACACTTCTTTTATTCCGCTTGTTGTCGCAGTGCCAGACTTTGTCAAGGTTACAACTTATCGATCCCTGGAAATCAATGATTTGATATTGATATGGTACCACGCGGAAGGGGAGGAGCCGTCCTGGTACCCGCCCGAGATCGAGAAAATCAAGACTGGCGAGTTGGTGTACACTGGTTGCTGGGAAGCCTACTTGGACTGTCACATCCAGGTGAGGTGTAGTCTGGGTCCCATACTGAATTGATAGTTGTTTCCCTTATAATGCAGCCGGTTCCTGTCCTCTTTTTTTGGTCCTGCTACCAACTCACTGACCACCATGCGCATGCTCAAGTTGATAACGACTCGGAGATGGTTCATAGACTTCACTTCCCTTCATAAATATGTTTAAAAAGAGTGGAAGCCGTGCACAGGACTTCGAGCTTGTATTTCTGATGAAATTCGGATGGAATTGGGTGCTATAACTGTTCCGTTTTTGCAATGGAGCGTAAGCGTCCTATATATGGTGATGGGCTTCGGTACTATTTTAAGGGTGATCATATTTGGATGGAATTTTCTCCCAAAGGTTAACCCCAAACAAATGATACCAGAAAATAAAACAAGACGATTAAAGCTCTTATTTGATGTGTGTCTCAACATCTTGATGTGTGTCTCAAACACCTTGAAGAGTAGTGATTTTTTTTTCATGATTTCTGGAAGTCGGCGTAATTATCACTGAGGTCTATAAGGCAGTATGTTTACTGGTCTGCAACCTAGGAACTAGGGCACTCGGAGGCCCTACACAAATTACAGCATGCCTAACTCGGGTGTATGAGCTTCAATATAGCACGTGGGAAAATAGAATTTGTTCTCAGATCATCGCCTCTGATGAAAATTTGATGCAAATTAAGTTAAAAAAAAAATAACATTTTTTTTTAAATCTCCGTAGGATATTGTGGAAAACGGTGGTGATTCGTCGCATCTTGATTACGTTCACGGACCGTAAGTGTAGTATAAAATCATGGTATGTGCCTTTCGTGGTTTACTTGCTTGTAGCCCAGTGATTCTTCTGTTTTTCGACTTGCTACTGATGACGTGCACTGCACGTTATTTCTTAGAATAGGGGAGTGTCTTTAATTATGAATACCTTCACTAGCGAACCATAATTCACAAAAAAATGTGGTCAGTTGACAGTTTCACAAATTGTGTGGTCAACAAACAACCAAACCAAAAAACCCCAGACCAACCCAGCATACAAACATCAAGCAAACACCCAACAGCCCATACAACCCAATTAACCTGACAATCTAACAAACAAAACAAACACCCCAAAAAGGGTTTAATTATACAATGCTCTTCTTCAATGAAATCTGGCTTATCAATTAATTAACTAAACTAATTTTTTTTAACCATAAGCTGGACTAGCGTTTATGCGAATTTGGGATATAATTATTTATTATATACTTATTTATTACTTATTATGTACATATTTTTGTATTATATACATTTTATTTGTTTTCTTAATAACCCTTCTATAGGCAAATCCACCCGAAGCGTTTCATCAATGTCAAATGGGAGGCTCATCCGACAAAGAAATATCTCAGCACGACCTACTCCGAGAGGGTGCCGTTTTGGAGTTCCAAACCCGACAAAATTTTCCATGAACAGGTGTTTTTTTTTCTTGCTTTTTTTAAAGGTTTTTGTTCAAACGTTCAAATGTCTCTCCAAGGGGTCTCCCCCAGCTCTCTCTGTTTTTGTCGTTGAGGGGGTACTTGTACATCGAGATAAATGTCAAGCATTGAATCACTCTGTCCCGTAGAATTCCGACCATAGTATGTGAATTTGAAACGCAAAAACTGTTTACCTACCAGGTCTCAACATTTCATTTGTGACGGGGCAGTGTTCATTTCGGTAGCACGTAATTAAACATAGCCGTGGTTTTAGTAGGTAGTACAGTCATTGTTGACTCGCCTGCGCTAGTTCATTGTTAGTCGAGCCATGGTCATCCTTTACAATAAGAACGGCCTACCTTATAGTGTGGCATTCCTTTGTCTTCATGTACTTTAAGGAAATGGTGCGACTAGAATAACTTTCATGAAGTTACTAGAATAATCTTTTTAATCAACTTCGGCATTATTCATCCTCAACAATTACGCCAATGGCATAATAAGTTTGGATTAATATTGATTTGCCATCCACAGTATGGGCCTGGTCTGTCCTACGTTGATGATGGTGGGGATCACTACTTCCTCACGGGCTCTGTACCAGTGGGACCCTTCAGGCAAAAATCAGTGTTCATGGTGTACTGTACTCCAGCCTCTCCCTTCAATTTGGCGAGTCGCCTCTTCGCGAAACTCATTGTTTATTTTACTTATGTTGTGGTGAGTGAAATTCCAAACGTTTCATAGCCTCCAAGCCTCAGACGAGTACCCTTTTTCACGTCTCTACCCCCCTAAAAATCCTTGCAACGCCACTGCGACTGATGTCCCTCCCCTCTTCGGGTGCATACCTATTTTCCCAATACCGATGTTCCCTAACCCTGACCCTAACCCTAACCCTAGCCCCCATAACCCTAACCCTAATCGTAAGGACTTCGGGGAACATCGGTTTTGGGGAACATAGGTATTGGGGAACATCGGGTAGACACACCCCCCCCCTCTTCTACGACATAATGCTGAACGCAATGGAAGGGTGACATTTTGGAGTTTGCTGTCACCCCAGTCGTTTTATTACTCTTGGCTTAGCTCTTCAGTGCCTGTAGCGCCCGAAACTGTCCCAAAACACCCGAGCAGCCTTTAGGTTTGATTGATTTCCAGGGAATAAATACAATGTAATTGGCCTACAACGAAGCACAGGTGGTAATGGGTTGGTTTCTGTTGAGTGCGTGTTACTTTGCCGTGTTTATTATAGATCAAAGGAGATGTACTCGTCTGGGCTAACAAGACCTACCGGCCCAAGCCCCCACTGGTCAAGGAGGACCCGTTTATCGCACAGCATCGCCGCTGGTTCGCCCAGTTCTACACGGAGAACAGCCCGCGACTCCGCCCCGCTGACTCCCTGCAGTGGTAAAAAGGCTGGGAAGGCGGACACGGCTGGGAAGTGGAAATTGTATGAAATCTTCCAAAACTACAAGCATTTTAACATCACGTATGGTGTCAAATTAAAGGGGACAACAAGATCTTTCATTTGAGTGGTGTGCCAATGAGATCGAATGTAATTAATTGTGATTTTGGGTACGATAAACCTGGGTTTTGGGGCTAAAATTGTTGGTAGTAATTTTTGCAACTTGTTTTAACATGCAAACTGTGACTGTTATCGAGAGTTTTTGTGTTTAAGGCAGAGAGGAAGTTTCATATATTATAAGAGTTTCATTATGTTCAAGTTCATCAAACTCAGATTTTATGCCGTGTTAGAAACCATGAAGAGGAAGCAACGTGAGTGACGTAACGTGAGTGACGGTACCTCCCTGTAATCTAATGTCCCTAGCATCTAAAATACACGCTTATTTGTTTCAAACTAAGTTTTTTTTTATATCTAGCTATGGGTTGAATGAAAGGTAAAACAATGTTATTTCTGTGTTGCAGACTACAATTTGAGGAGACTGAAACAACGACATTGCAGGACAATTTTCCATGTCCTTTTTTTTGTAACGTGACTGACGACCAACAAAACACGTTTTCAAAAAGTGAATGAATGGATTGAATTGTTTTCTTTCCATTTTGAGTACCCCTTACCCCATGATTGTTGTCCGGCTGGTTTGATTCAGCTTGATCAAATACTTTTGAAGCAGTGAGAGGTCAAAGTGGCCTCATGGCATATAAATGTAACGTGAGTGACGGTGGAATTGCCCATTTCATCAAGTCAATATGTCTTGCTACACCGGCAGCGCGCCCCTGAAATAACCCATATTGTGCAACACAAAAAAATTATGCTTATTTATTCCCGCTTTGATAGCGTAATGAAAAATATAATTATGTGAAGAAGTACAGTTGAGTGTTTCGTTCGGAAGAGATGTCGGTCTGCCAAATATTTTTTTTTTGACGAGGTGGATACTTCAGTAACGGCTGTAAAATGGACTGCTTTTCACCGTTCTTAGGCACACAATTATTGCCCGGTTTGGGAAGAAATTATTCCATAATTAAACGCGGGCGGTTTTGTGTGATGGCTCATTCAAACGTGGTTCACATTTGTATTCCTTGAAAATTACAACTTCAAAACCAACTATTTTTGGGTGTGGCTCGAAAACAGCAACGGGAGAGCGCAATTAAGAAGCCATAATGAAAAAGAAAGAAATAAAGGTCAAGGTTGTTTACGAATTTCAACAAGCTTGAGTTCTAAAGATAGACCTGACACCTCGGTTATAAACGTTTAAACTAGGAGCTATATCGAGCTATATGAAGTCCGAAATTAGTTACAACGAGGCCAAAGTTTCTCCAGTTATCTCCAACATGGTTATCTATATCTCCAATTAGCCTAACTTGTATAATTCAATTATCAATGAAACTAAGAGAATACGAAAAAGTACCTATCAATAAAAAAAAAATACCTCAGCTTGGATTGTTTCAGTTATAATATAGGGACTTCATGGTCCACCGGGCATGCGTGTGACGTTAGCCGTAGCAGTATTTTATGTGCTGTATCGGCTACTGCAGTACTGTTGTAATTTTGGCAAATCACTTGGCTCAATGCTGGTTCAGGGGCCATTTATTCGCTTGTTTTTGAAGCCTGTGTGATATGAAAATCTGACTCCTATGAAAATCGGATTCCTTTTCCCTATCATTGGTTAATCCCTCGCACGTGACAGGTCACTCGCCTATATATGATCCCCAAAATTGCATATTATCGTACTTACGCATGCGCAATACTACCACGAGTCCACATTTCATGGAGTCGGATTTTCACGTAACACCGGTCTTTATGTCATAGTACACCCCAAGTGATCGAGTCTCGACCACCCAGAAGCTATCAACGCTCCAGTGTATATATATTAATAATTGATAACATTTCGATAGTGATTGCTTTCTCGGTCAAAAGTTACTATGGAACAACCTCTGTGCAGAATTTGGGCGAGCTCCCCATTGATAGGGCCAGCTGCAGTCTGATCCTCTGTGTACTTCACTGACCCACTCGCTCTTACTTCTGAGGTAGACGGGTTCACTATTTCCGTAACTGACTGTCACTCAATTATACAGATTGCACTGTGAGTGTGGTTTAATCATCGCGAAAAGTTGACCTTGGGGCGGTCAAATTTTGACGGTGTACCCGCAAAATAAATTCTGAAAAAAGAAGTTCCGATTATTGTCCATGACTCCAATGGGCCTTATGCACGAGTCGGCCATATTGAATTGAAAGTGAGGTGAAATCTTAATGTTTTGACCTTGCGAAGAGAAATGAACGCAAGTTAATTACTAAATAATTCCAGTCTGCTTCAATGAATAATTAAAAATTTGTAAGTAAACACTCCTAATGTTTAAAGCCAGATTTTAAAAGAAATGACAGTAAAATAAGGTTGAATTATACCTGCATAAATAGTCTGATGTCATCCCATTCAACAGTTAACATTACTGAAATACATTCAGGGAACTCGACAAAAATGGCCAACTCGTGCACAAGGCCTATTTAACTTACTCTGAAGGCCAAGGCAAAGCAAAATCTCCTTATTTTTGATAACAATTCCCGGTGACTTAAAAACCACGTGTCTTGGTTCTGGACTCAAAATGGGGACACAGTATCCTGAGGGACGAGCTCTCCTTCGAGATAAGGGACATAATATCATACTAGGGACACTATTTCCTAGGGGAAGCTGTCGGGGTACACAATATCCTGGCAAAACCAGGAGAATCCGTTCGGGGACGGAATATCCTGGGGATACAATCTTCCACACCGCTTGCAATTTCAGGTGCCTCATTAAATTGATTTCATTTGCGCAGGCCGCGTCCGTTGGACACTTTCGTAGACTTATTCAAATATTTCACGGAGGATCTAATAATGTTATGGTACCGAAACTACTTTCGCTAGATTCCCAATAGCCCTATGAGATAATGTGGACAATTTACTAAACTATATACTACATTGTAGTTAGTTTGCTGTCGAATTCAAACACAAGAGAATGCATGGACCCATACACAAAGTATCGGTGTCCAATTTCGAAGCACCGCCAAGCGCGGAACTTGCTCTATGTATCGTGTAGGCTATGCCAATATAACCAATGAGATTACATTACTGACATCACGTGACTACCCTTTTTTTTACAACATGAGACGAAGTCCATAAAAAGAGCGTGTTCTATTTGCTTGACATACAGTGCTCAATAATAATTTGTATAATCGCGATCCACATTGCGTCCCCTTTTTGGAAACTTGAAATTGTTTGTTAGAATCAAGATTCCTTCTCCACAATGGGCCAAACGGCAGTTGCTCACTCTCTCTTGCTGTACGTAGTCGCCCCTGCTGTGGTTTCGATCGCTATTTGCAGAGGTGGTCTGATACCCGCGACCGCTTCTTCCGAGGATGGCAGCATCTCTGGGCCGGCTTTCTTCGCGACGTACGGCCTGCTGGCTGGCTTGGCGTACTTGACGGCAGCCGTGTTTTCGTTCATCTACAGCCCTCTGGAGTTTTACGGCGATGAAGGGAGAGATTCCTACTTCGTCAGCAAGGCCCAGGCCGGGCTGTCCAAGGAAGAAGCGGTGGCAGAGATGAAACGATCGCGGAAGATCGGTGACATACCTCCCGTCTATCCCAACGGTTGGTTCATTGTCTTCAGGTCTGCGCAGGTCAAGAAGATGGAGACGAAATACGCACATGTCCTGGGTACGTAAGTTTGCTCTACTGACGGAAATATTTTTTCCTGTAAATTAAACAAGGCAAGGAAGCATACTAAAGCTTGTCAAAGAGCGCGCAAAATTATATGCGATCAATTTAATGGAAGCCTTCACGCATCTGATCATAATTGTTGGTTTTTAAGAAGGCCTGGGTTTTAGAGTTTTTACGCAAGATTTTAAAACTTATCTACTGGTTTTCTTTGGAGAAATGAATTTGTACATTCGTTACACAGTTTTTATATTCTAAAATGATTAGTGTTTTATATTGCATGCAATTGTGTTTTGATGTTGTGATTGTCCATTGTTTGTGTATTAATAATAATAATATTTTTAATGAGAGACGACAACATGTAATTTCCAGTTTTGGATTTAATAAAGTTTTATCTATCTGTCGGATTTAACCAATTCATTGGCGTTATCGGAGTAATCCCTTTAAAGAACGGTGATTTTTTTTCTTGTTATTGTAAAGATATCGGCAAAACATTTCTGGGGCATATTATCTCTATAATATCGCTGATAGCATGCATCAAAGTGCAGACAGCACGTACACTAACAAACAAAACCGGCCATCGTCTAGGCTTTTGATATGGCAAAAAGAAAATAACTAATAATAATTTTAAAAAATCTGGACCTGTTTTTAACAGGCAGTGGCAGGTTTGACAAACACGTCAAGGGCCAGGGCCACTTGAAGCAGGTGAAGGCTAATAATAACGAAGGAGTAATAATGGAATAATATTTTGTCTCCCGAGACTGAGCTGCCAATGATGAAGATGATGAAGATGGTGTGCCAATGATGAAGATGAAGATGATGATGGGAATGATGGGGATGATAATGATGATGATGATGAATAATTTAACACACTTTGAATTATTAGTGGCCCGACAATAATGCAGGGTAGACTGGTTCCCGCCCGCTATCAGATTTAATAATGTACAGGCCAGGAACCAGTCTACTCGCACGGCGCAATAAAATCAACCCGAAGTAAAAGCCTTTACCAGAGGGTTACAGAAAATGTAACAACAATGTTTCTATGTACATTTTGGGAAGTACATCTTAACGCGTCTGTCTTTCCCCAGGCCTGCACGTGGCCGTATTTCGCGGGGAGAGCGGACAGGTGTACATCGTGGATGCTTACTGCCCTCATCTTGGCGCCAATCTGGCATATGGCGGGAAAGTCAAGGGGGAGTGCATAGAGTGCCCGTTCCATGGATGGACGTATCAAGGAGAGGACGGCAAATGCATTGAAATCGCCTACGCAGACAAAGGTATTATGGTGTTTCACAATAAGTCGTGGAAGGTGGCCTCAAATACCTGCGAGATTTAACGAGAATACAGCACATCCGGGAACATGTAGACCCTGTAGGATCTACAAATGTGCGTAACTTCCTATTTCTTGCTTTTATGTTGTGTTCTGACTGAGACCATCAAAATCAAGGGCAATAAATCGGTGTATTTCGAAATGAAAGAAAGCATTACAAATTACGACGTATTGGACACATTGCGAATTGATGACTGTTGTAAATGAAAGTTTTGTTGACATCAACTTTTGTTCAATCGATCACGCAGATGACAACTGATATAATTCAAACACGGGAGTCTGTGACTAGGCTAGTCAGTGTTTGGTACCAAGACGTCCACAGAAAACGTGAGCGTGGACTGAATGGCGAGACTAACACGCTCTGTGGCGAGTTCATCCATAGGTGAAGTCCTGTAACTCCCCCCACAAAAAGGAAAGAGCAAACATAAACATTTAAAATCATGTAAACTTTCAGGGGGTTGAATAAAGCTTTCGCAAAACAAAACAAAATTGGCCCACAGGTTAAAAATGGGTATGATATTTGTTTTGTAGGGGGCGCTTTTTTTTCTTATCAGATCTAGACACTTCTTTTATTCCGCTTGTTGTCATAGTGCCAGACTTTGTCAAGGTAACCACCTATCGATCCTTGGAAATCAATGATTTGATATTGATATGGTACCACGCGGAAGGGGAGGAGCCGTCCTGGTACCCGCCGGAGATCGAGAAAATCAAGACTGGCGAGTTGGTGTACAGTGGTTGCTGGGAAGCCTACTTGGACTGTCACCTCCAGGTGAGGTGTGGTCTTGGTCCCAGACTGGAAATATAACTTTAATGCAGCCGGTGTAACGTGAATATATCCGACTCCATGAAATATGGACTTATCGGCAGCATTGCGCATGCGTAAGCACGATAATATGCTTTTTTTAAGGGTCATATGAGAGA